TTGAGAAATTCTTCAAAATCTTGTTTTTGTCATCTTATGCCTTTTAATGAAGATGGGAACATTGACAGTGAAATAAATCTGAACGAAGAATTTTCGTAAAGAGCACAAATGGTAGTGTTATTTAAAATTACTCATGCTAAAAATTTTCATAAAAGTGACCAAAAAACATCACTAATTCGGTAACCCATGGCCCAATGAAGTTTTGTAAAGAGTGCGAATGGTAATGCGATGTAAAATTACTCATGCTAGAAATTTTCATAAAAGTGCCCAAAAAACGGCGCTAACTCGGTAATCCGTGGCCCGATTTTAACGGAACTTATTTTATTCTGTTTCTATTCTCATTTCATTAGAAATATGGTGCTAACTTCATACACAAACAAACAAAACTAAAAGCAATAACAAGGAATGATTCCAAGTAAGGCTGGCCTGAACTACTTAGCAATTGTCTGGTGTATTTTTCATCATTAATGTAATCAATAAGAAAGAAAATGCCTCATCAAGGTGTCGTACATCATTCAAGTCTTTAATCGCATTCTGAGAAGGAACTATAATTTGATTCATAATCTGTACATACCATTTTCATATTCTTACATTAAAAACATTTTGTTAAAAACAAGAAGGTTAGATAAATACATCAGCTGCTAATGAGCTGCCATCAGCACATTCTCTCCAAAGTTTCCATTGTTATAGATGAACTTTAATGATCTAGATCCTTTGTTTCTGGAAAAATCATTGGTATTTATCCAAGGGGTATCCATACTAGTTGATATCTACATTCCATCACCAAAAACGCTTGGAGGTCCCACACTATGAGAGCCTTACAATCATTAATTAGCCAGAGCTGACTCACTGAATCCCAATCTTCCTGAAACACTCAGCTTGACATCTCGGTCAATAGTCCCATGAGGCATGACAGATGGTTTGAAAAACAACTAGTCTATAAAGCAATAGAGTGCCTTAACTCAAAAAACATACCTTAAGTCAATGGGGTCCAACATTATGGCATTTGTCCATAGCAGACAACAACCAATAATGATTCACAATTCCAACAATGGGGTCCAACATTATGTGATTTGTCCACAGCAGACAACAACCAATAATGATTCACAATTCCAACAATGGGGTCCAACAGTAGGAGATTTGTCCATAGCAGACAACAACCAATAATGATTCACAATTCCAACAATGGGGTCCAACAGTAGGAGATTTGTCCATAGCAGACAACAACCAGTAATGATTCACAATTCCAGCACCTTTACTTTAGACCTAGTTCTTGGATTATAATAGTATTGAAAAAAAAAAATCAAAGCATTCAATTTTTGCTTAAAGTGTATTAGTAAAGTATTACACACTTATATAAAAGACTGAACAGTGAAAATAAGGTTGCCATGACAATTTAGGGCTAAAACATTTGGCTTCCAGGGTTCTGGCAACCCCCAGTCTAAAAACACTTTTTGCTTCATTTGGCTCAGAACTACGTTATCTGCTGAAATCCTATGCACAATCCTAAACAGCGATGTACCATAGAAAACTAAGGTTATAATAATCTGCTTTTAAATAGTGGATTCATAAATACAGAAGTTTGTATTAAATGTATTAAAGGAACAAGTATTGACTGAATACATAAAATTTTATCTTTTCCAAACACTTTCTTGCAGACAAACGTTTAATAGGTAAAAGTGTCCAGAAGCAACTAACAACACTGCTTCAAGCTCACAGACAATCAATATAAAAGCAGCCACAACCACCTTTTCAATACCTATGGAAGAGATTTTCTACACATCTTCAGCTACTGTTACATAGTAACTGTGTGCAAAGCCAGTGAAAATGCACATCTTTCCTATGGAATTATAGCAGTAATAACATGGGTTTGAAAGAAATTAAAAACTTAAAAGATTAAAGTATTTATATCTTGGTAAGCCCCCCCCCCCAACCACACACACACACAAAAATTTACCAAGTTTGTGTTCTTCTAACATGCAACTTATTTCTTGCATATACAAAATCTCTTGCAATGCAATCTATGTTAAGGCAAAAAGCACCATGAAAAATGGATGAGTTTTTAAAGCTGAACTATATCGCTAAAATTCTTAATTTTTATAACGACAAGCTCTGTAATTGTGATTAATTTTCCTGCTTGATATAAGCAGGAATCTCAAACATATTACTTTCAGAATAGAAAAATTAATAATAAAAACAAAAAAATTAGCACCACTACTAATTTTATAATAAGTTACATTTTCTTACCTCTCGATCTGGCTTGTGGGGAGACATAATCTCTAAGGGTATACCCTGACGCACAACAATAGCTTGCGAGTCTCCAAGCCAAGCCAAATAAAGAGTTTTTTCTCGTGCAAGACAGCAAACTGCTGTACACCCACTTTTCATACCCTAGAAAGGAAATGTGTGTTATAAAATCAAATTCTGACAATACCATATATGTACTCTGACAAAGGAGAGAAATATTTACACTTTCACATTTTTACTAAAGAAAGTAACATTGTCTACTTATGATTTTTTGGCTGCAAGTTAAGCACAAAGTGCTTTCATTTGAAGAAAAATCAAGTAAACACATGTTTGAACATGTTATTTGAATATACAGTAAGTTATTTGAATAAACTATACTAACATCAATACATGTATGTATACTAAGCCTCATTTAAAGTTAAAATAAACTCATGAAGAAATAGATTTTTGTATTTCTGCAGTGTTGGCATGTGTACATACTTTCTATATAAAATTGGGAAAAGTTATTTCTCACTCTGTTATTTATTTTTTCTTGGCAACTTGAAGTTTTCTTTTCTTGGGAAAACTTCTAAAAGCAAATTAATTTTCTAATGAACTCTCCAACACTGAATGTTCTTAATGGATCCTACTAACTAACTAGCATGTGTTTACTTTTCCAAAACAGTTAAATCATTTGCATAAATAAAAGTGGTTCAGTTTATAATACAATGTAACCAATGTAATGTTTTGTGTAAACTGGAGATAAGCCAAAAACAGTAAGACACAAATGATGATGATTTTTTTTTTACAGTGAAAATAATCGTACATCTAAATTTATGTCAACAAATTTTGAAAGTTATGTTTTTATTTATGCTAATAACTAATGAGTTAAATTAGAAAAACAACATGATATTTAGTATATAACTACATTTCATCTAATTCAGAGAACTCACTAGAGAACTACTTTTGTATAATTCTGACAAAAAAAGAAGAAATAATAAACTCTCAAGCCCATGTCAATAAATTACTTTTAATTTCAAATGAACTGTTAATGTTTCCGTTTTCGAAGGAAAAAAAAAACAACATAATAATAATAATCACCACCCTATTGACATAGTTTTGGGTGGTTTTTCAGACTGCTGTTATAATAAACTGGCAATAACTAGTTGCAGAAGGAGAGAAAATCATCAAAAGTTTCAGAGTAAATATCCACTGAACAAACATCATGAATAGAGTGGAGAGAATTTATCTAAATGTAAACAACCTAAAAAAATTTTTCTTAAAGTGCACATATATTCCAACTTTATTTCATTACCTATTTGAACTGAGAAGATTTGAAATCTAATGAATTATTCTACCCAATAGTATAATATAATATGATCTAAATGGTTTAAGAAATGAATGACAATTTATTTTTTAGGACTAGTAACATGAACAAAATATTATACTGTTTGTTATTGCACAAAAAATATTGAAATAACTTAAAGCATAAAAAATATAAGTAAGGTGAATGAGAAACTACTGAATTTGTTAGAAAGTATTTTCCTACATGATGACCAATGGAGTTATAAAATGAGTAAGAGCAAAATTTTAAATGACATGTGGTTGAATCCACTTAGTCTCATCCATCCACAACAAATACAAACATAAATGAGATTATGCAAGGTCAATCACGAAGTTATATGGATTCAACCATGTGTCATTTAAAACAGCATATAAAAGAGCATTTCAAGCCTAGCATTAGTAATTCTTTAAATATCTATAGAAATTTGAATAAAGATTGTGGTGGTGTGGTTGATGAAACTAATTTCATCATAGTATGCAGTTCCAACAATGAACGGGATGTCCGAATAAAAGAAACTCTGAAAATCAAAAACTTAAACCGATAAAAGCACATGCTAAAAAAAATAAAAAACTATTACTGTAAATAAGAAATTTTGAAAAACTTAAAATGTAAATAACAAGTTAAAAATACTACAACAAAATAGATATTCAAAGCTTTTCAGTTAGAGCTTTGCTCACCTGGTAGGTTTTCACTAAGTCATGCATAGTTATCAAATATATAACGAATCATTTTAGAGAGAAAAAGCCTTGAACATGGGTAATTAAATCAAATTTAAAAAGAAATTATTGATTATTCCAAAGTTTTTTTAATTGCATCAACAAGAAATGCATCATCGTGATGCAAGTATCATCAATGGAAGGTTTCACAGTTCACCTCTCGAAAGGCCCTCTCAAGAAAGAGTTTGTCTGTAATCTTGAAGGCTTCTTTTATTGCAGTTTGAGTATCTGTAAAGAAGGCAGGGTGTTGAACTATGTTCCAGTGAAGATGAGCTGCAGCGAAGTTGGCAGCTTCTGTTCCAGCATGTCCATCAAATACAGCATAATAACTGTGGTGTGGTACATCCTTCTGAAAGATTTCTTTTATTTAAATACTTGCCCCATTGTCAAAAACATAATAGAAATAAAAACAGTTTTACATTGAAGTCATCCTGAAATTATTTACAGCTCTGCTAGAAAATGCACTTTATGTTGCCACGATCATTTGTCACTTTTTTTACACTAATTCCAACTCCTAAAATTGCTCCTTCAAATTACACAAGTGACTGATCAACTGAATGTAAATCAAACAACTGATAAAAGCCCAAGATTTAAAATAATACTTAGAACTGATCAATTGAATGTACATCAAGTAACTAATAGAATCCCAGTTCTTACTCATGTCATCACATGGTAATCAAAGATCAAATTCATGCTCACCAAACAGAACAAAATGAACCTTTTATTGCCCTTTTCTAGGAGTGTGTACATTTTCTGAACAGATAATTACCTATTTCAAAATTAAAAACTAAAAGATTAGCATGACATTTTGTATTTTATCACAATGCCATCTGTTAAATATGGAAGAATAATGTGGAGATACAAAAAGATTGGGGAATTGCTATTTTGTAGTTTACCACTAAAATTAGCAATATGCATGACATTTCTAACTTACGAACCTGTGCTTCATGATTGAATTCCACAATTCTCTTAGCATGAAATTGATTATGCATTTTCATCCTGGCAATTCATTTATTTTTTTAATAATCTTGGTTTATTAGTATTTTTTAGAAAAATAATCAAATATTAATGAAAGTGAAATCATTACTGATGCTATAATTAAATATTTTGAAAACAACAAGCACCCTATACTTTTTAGTTCCAAAAATGGCTATAAAATGTTTACAGCGTGAACAGTTATATTTGTTGAAATAGATTTCACTCCTATTTTAAACTGTAACCGAATTAGTAGTTGCATAATTTGAACACAGTTATCTCCCTGCTCCTCTTCTTTCATCCAAACTTTCTACTGTAATGCAAGTTAACATTTTCATAGTAAAAATTAATCTTTCTGATATTTCATAATTATTTATTGCATTTTGTTTAATTCAAAGCCATTTAAAAGCTTGGAGCTCCTTTCCAAAAAACCTTTAATCATTAGTTTCTGTGAAAGACAAAGTTTGTAAGCACAGACTTGCTAAATCTGTTTATCAGAGTAATTACTTTTTTCAAGTCTGAACTTGATTTTAATACTGTTACAACTTTAGTCCTTATCACAAATTCACACATACAATTTGTTATACTCCTTACTAATTTTGTTTGGTGATAGGAAATTAAGGTAAGTTATATTTTTTATGGTAAAACGTAACAGCCAGATTGTTGCTACATAGTCTTAAATAGCTGATACTAAATTCTTCATTTTGAAAATACTCAACAACTTACAAAATAATTGCCACAAATAAAATGAAAGCTAATAATTTTGTGTAGATTATAAATAAGAAAATAAAAAAGCTTAGTTAATAATTCTAGGATCTATTGCATTTCATAATTGTACTTAATCATAGGTTTTATTCCAATGTGTAGTAATCATCTAATACCATTGGAGAATTCAGCTTTTATCACCACCATTACAAATTATGAAAGTCACACAAGACCTCTACAATATAAAAGTTGTGAAGCAATAGTTGTAAACAACAAAAAAACAGCTATGAGTTCAAAATTGTTTATTGTACCTGGAGATCACAAGCAACATTGAGATCATGCAGAATCACATGGCGATCCTCCATTTTTCTGCGAGTGTTTTTAATGGCACAAACAGAAACATTATAGATGGGAGAGCAGGGCCAAACTGTGGTGCTAGCCATTTCTTGGTATTTCTCTTCCCAGTACTGAATCAGTTCATGCAATAACTGTATGACTTGAGAATGAAGTTGAACTGCATCAATTACTTTAAAAGAATAAAACACTTATTAATTTCCATGATAGGTTGTTCATTCAGATGTAAACATCATGCCTTAAACTCTGTGAAATCTGTTAAAGAACAAATCCTAATTTTGGAATATTTTAAGCTTGAGGAAATAAAATTCCACACGGAAGAAAACTATCTTTACTTGAATAGCTTAGAACAGGCATTCCCAACCTGGGGTACATTTGCACTTCTCAGGGGGTACATAGGGGTCTGAGAGTATAATCATGGTTTAC